TAATAATTTTTTCCTGAATGTCGGTATTTTACGTTCAATTTGTCGATAAAATACGCGAAATTAATATATTAGGAGGACGATAATTCTTGAAACTCATTAATTTTATGTATACTAAGTACCATGAATAATTGTCCAGGCATTATCAGTAGCATGCAGCTTATGATAATTACTTTTCTCTCACAAACAATAATTCCGGAAAACGAAAGTTATTACAACTTTTAACTGTTATATGTTATATATGATATTACTGTACAGTTAGATATTATTAGTGGCGTGCAGTTGTTGATAATAAATTTTCCCTAAATTTAAGTATTTTTTGGTCATTTTTTAGATAAAACACTTAAAATTAATAATATTAAAGACGAAAATTATTGAAACTTATAACTATTATATGAACTGACTGATATAATTAAATGTTTAGGCAATATTCGTTGCGTGCAGGTTGTGATACTGTATTCAATCTTAAATTTCGTATTTTCCGGTCATTTTTTCGTTTTAACACATAAAATTAAGTATTCGGGAAGACAAAAATTGTTGAAACTGACTTGTATTATATGTACTAAATAATATAACTTAGTGTGCAGGCATTGTTAATAGCGTGCAGCTTGTGATAATGAATTTATCCCAAATTTCGGTAATGTTCGGTCATTTTTACGGTATAACACTTGAAGTTTATATATCTAGTAGACGAAAGTTGTTGAATAATATTACTGTTGTTAATATTGTATTTATTTATTTTCCATGTATAGATTTACATCTTTTTACATACCTCTACCCCTCACACGATATGCCGTGCGCTTACAATTTTCGCTCTTAAATCTAGTATTATGTATAAATATAGTATTATTTATCTTCCTGATGTACATCAATTTCCCTTCTTTACAAGCACATTATCCTCTAGCTTCACAAATTCTCATTATTCGTATAAATTTTTCCTAAGCTCCTAAGCGCGTCCTTTCCTTTTCAAAATAATTACCCCCCCCCCATTCATTTTCAGCGCTTTATTTGGCCACTTTCTCGAATTCTATAACATACTTGCAAATTACCTCAACCGGATCCCCTTCCAATAGTCTGACCAATCTTTGTCTAATTACCTCCTCAGATCCTTTTAATCCTACTTCCTCTACTGCTCCAGACCACTCTATATTAATTTTTTTTTCTCGCTATCTGACAATAAAAGATATGCTGAATACTTCCCTTCCTTCTCTTGCGTACCCCGCATGTGCTGTCTAAAAATCCCTTCTTGTCTGCTTTACCTACATTCTCGCATCTGAGCCTCGTCCATTGTTCTTTAACGTTTGCCCCCCATACCTTCCTTTCCCAATAATTTTCCGTTCCTTATTTTTGTTTAATATATTTATAAAAATCACAATATTTCGATCTCTCAATCCTTCCCCAATCTAACTACACGTCCTGATCTTCTTTTACTTTTAGCCCATCTGTCATTCTCTTTTTTAAATCCCACCTCTTAAGTGTATCAAACATCCCATTTAACCCCACTCCATCACCTACTTCTTTAAAAGATTCCGCTACCAGTCTTCCCCAACTTAAAGCATTCCCGTTCCCAAGTCCCCTTATCTCCTCCTTCAAGCAAAATTTTGGCCATCTATTGTCTTTCATCTCTGCTATGTTTATCAAATAGTCCCCTGCCCTTCTCCTTGTTTTAATTTCCTAACTTTTCCTATTTGCTTCCCTTCTCCAGATATACGCTGGTGTATTTTCATTTAGCCCCAACGCCATCTTTACAAACTTTCCCTGCACTTTCTCAATTTGCTCCCACCTTTTCCACCCCCATATTTCAACTCCGTATAAACAACCGGCCTTCACTATTGTGTCTAATAAATAAAGTATTCCCTGTAAACTATCTAATTTTGCTCTTTTCCATACCCCCCACACCGTGTTTATTGCTTTCTTAACATTATTGGTGATTTTGTTGACGTGCGTACTCAATGTATTCCTTGTCGAAAACCAGAACCCAAGATATTTATACTCGTTGACCACTTGAATTACCTCATCTCTAAATGTGAATTTTTCGCTTTCTTTTTTCCTACCCCCTTTTCTAAATATCATTATTTTTGTTTTATACGTATTTACCTCCATCCTATTTTTTTTCTCATATTTTTGTAGATCATTCAGCACACATTGTAAACCCTCCCTGCTGCTGGCCACCACAGCCACGTCATCCGCGAATTTTAAGCGAAAGATTTTTTTTGCCCCAATAATTATCCCTCCCTCATTTTTTGCCCTCCATTTTTCCTCTATATCATTAATAAATACATATTAAACAGAAACGGACTCAGAGGACACCCTTGCCTAACCCCTTGCTTTGTCTCAAATTTTTCAGTTATACCCTTCCTTGTGATAATTTCATTTATCGTCCTGCTATATATGTTTTTTACCATTCCTAAGAACTTTCCCTTAATTCCTAATTTTCTCATTTTTTCGATCAATATTCACCTGTATATTTTATCAAACTCCGTTTTGAAGTCAACGAAACACACAAAAACTTTTACCCTTATCCTCCTTCAAACTATTACTGATAATGCTATTCAACATAAATGTATGATCCCTTGTGCTTCTCCCTTACCTAAAACCTGCTTGACTTTCGTCAATGGTATCCGTTCATTCTAAGTCTTTGGTTTCCAGCCACTTCTTTATAGCCCCCCAAACCTTTTTTTTCTGAGCCTTTACCTCCTCATCCCATTTTACTGACTATTCACAGTTCTCTCTTTTGTCCTTCTTCACCATGCCTACTCTCTCTCCCACCTCCCAAATTGCACCAACCAATGCATCCCACCCTTCTTGCATACTTTCGCCCTTAACTTTAAGTCCTTTCTCCTATTTGTCACTTCTTTTCTATATTGATCCTTTTTCATGTCATCTCATTTTAATTTTTTTGTTTCTTCCCCTTTTTCTTTCGTCTCCACTTTTTCCCTCCCTCCTCCCCTCTATTAGTAGGTGGTAGTTTGACCTCTTTCGGTAGGTAATCTGATTCCATTTGTATACCTATTTTCAATTCTTTTATCAAACTACCTTGTTCGCTTTCAAGCTCCAATACCAGATCAAGCATTGAACTTTCTCCATCTCCCACAAACGTTTTCTCTCCTCCCCAATCACCTTCGGTTGCTCCGTTTCTTATAGTCAAACCCATCTCCTCACACATATTTAATAACTTTTTTCCTTCCCTTTTCGTCACTTTGTCACATGACTTTCTACTTTCCTCTCTTTCTTCCTCATTATTAATTTTCCTTTCCCCTGTACGCGCATTTATATCTCCTACTATTATCACTTGCTCACCCCTTCCAATTCCCTCCTCCACTATCCCTTTCAGTTTGCTTATCATTACATCAATATTAACATTATTATACACAACAATTATACACAGTTTTTTTATCGTTTCTTAAATCTACACCTGAAATAACCACTCCATAATCCCATTTCCCAACTTCCGCTTTTTTGATAGACTTCTTGATTCCTACTAATACACCTCCTTTTGCTCTTCCTTTTTTATTTTCTCTTATAGCTGCACACGCTGTCCACTCATAACTTTTGTCTAATCTCCCTAACCAACNTTTCGCCAGAACATCGACGCATCATAATTTTATTTTTTCATAATAAAATGGCGGGTGGTATTTTCACGCCAATCGTGAACTTTTAATTTTCTCTCTTTATTTTCTAATTTTCTTTAGCACAATACGTTAAGTGCAATAGTTATATTTCCTGGAATTGTAATAGCTTTATCTTTTGCTTTATTATCTAAAAGTAACACTTATCTTGTATAAGGATTTTTTTATTTTATTAATTTTCTTCATACCCCCTATATGCCAGGATAACATTGGAATCGCCTCCTATCACCTTGATTTTTTTAATTTCCGCCACAAAATTCATATAACTCTGTAATACACTTATTATTTCGCTCCCTATGCCATTTCCCACTGTTCTGAATCCCCTTATCATTATGTTATTTTTCCTCCTCTGTCTCTCTAATAACTCAAACTTTAGCTCACTATGCGATAATGCGTCGGAACTACTCGGCCAGTGGTCTCTTTTCGTTAATTCTTCTCTTTCACCTACCCACTTCTCTTCACCTGTTCCCTGCAAACTCGATTGCATTGAATTTTGCCCATCTCCCTCCCCTTTTTCCTCCTTGTTTACCCCCCTCCCCCTCTGCATCTCATCACTGACTATACGATTAGCTATCGACCTTTTTAATTATTCCAGCTCACTTTTCAAACTACCCGTCGTTTTTCTCTCACTGTCCCTTTGTTTTTTTAACTCTACAACTTCACACATCAACCTTCCGTGCTCTACAATTTCACGCTTTAATTCTGCCCTCACACTGCTTACCTCTGTGATCACACTGTTTTTCTCCCACATTACCAAAAGTAAGCTTTCTTCCAAATTCGCATCCCGCACTATTAACTTATCTACTGCACCCGCTACACTGTTATATCGTCGCTTATCATCGTCACTACGCTGCTTTTCCGATGTGTCCCTTTGATGCTGCATTTTCTCCTGTGCCTTCTGCTGCGAACCAGATGCCGTCTCCTCTACTGCCCTCTGCTGCTCTACCTTTGTATCAGCTCTTGCCATTTTCAGCTTTACCGACGATTGACCTCCTTTTTCCTCACCAATTCTCTGTACTGTCTGTTCCCTGCTGTCGGCAATCAAGCTCTCCGGTTCTTCTGTCAGCAGTATTTTCTCTTGTTTTTCTTCACTTTCTTTTACCTCTGATGCCCCTTCTTTTACCCTATCCTCTTTACATTCCTGTACCAGACTGCCCGTTGTTGACTTTTTGACTGCCTCGCCTTTTTTTTCTCGTTTCCCAGCTGCTGACTCCCTTTAACCTGCCCGCAGAGCGTGGTTCGGGATTGCGAGACAGACATTTGACTGTTAAAAAACTAACACAATATACGCTAAGTGCAGTGACCATCGTGTTTGTGTGCCAGTCAGTGCCGTGAACTTTTGATTTTGTGTAACGTTCTAGCACGGCGGGCGGCATGGCAAGTTCGGCTGATGCATTACTCGCACGCCAGGAAAACCTTCAAAACGCTACAAAAAATGCTTTGGCAAACCTTACTAAGTTGGGCACAGCAAATTATTCTAACGCCGTTATCACAGTTCGTATGGATAGCCTGGATACGAATTGGAAGGAATTCAAAAACAATCATCTTACTCTTCTTAGCCTACAAGAAAATCTAAGCGAGCAGGATTATATCAAAAACGATGTCTACGCAAAAACCGAGGAATTTTATCTGACTGCCCTTGCCACTATGCTGTCGCTTCTCGAGACTTATCCTGCGCCGATACTTCCGACTGCCGCATCGTCTTCTCAAGCTCCGTCAGCACCTACGTCATCTTCGCGCAAACTGCCCGAGATCAAGTTGCCGACCTTCACGGGTGACTACAAGTTGTGGCCAGAGTTTCGTGACTTGTTTATTTCTGGCGTTTCTTCCAGCTCGTTATTAAACAACGTTGAAAAGTTGTTTTATTTAAAATCGAGTCTGGCCGGAGACGCAGCTGAGCTCGTCCGCGGCATCTCTCTCGAGGGTGACAATTTTCAACGGACTTGGGACGCGCTGAAGGATGCATTTGAGGTGCCACGCGTGCAAGTTGATGCACTATTAAAAGGCTTCTTCTTGATGAAGTGTGTCAGTGGTGAGGATGCGGCAGACCTCCGTCGGATCCTTTCAACCGCCAAAAATCTTGTCGAAGGCCTTAAAAATCTTAAACGGCCAACAATTTCAGACGACGTCTTAGTTTATATCCTTGCAAATAGACTGGACGCCGTAACACGTCGCGATTGGGAAAAATCGCTCGAAACTTCGAGAGAGCCAGCTGCATTCAGTCAGCTGACTTAGTTTCTCGAGGGACGCATTCTGACGCTGTCAAGCGTAGCCTCGAGCAACGGGAAAGGGCAGCGGTCAATAGGCATGCATGCGCACCAGGCATCATACAGATCTAAGGTGCCGGTATATTCTCTCTGCTCCTTGTGTCATCAGCTGTGGACTTGCGGAGCCTTCAAAGCCAGGAATCCAATGCAAAAGAGGGAATTCGTGCTTGAGAAGCAGTTATGTGAGAACTGCTTGAGCTCTCACGAAGTTTTAACCTGTCGCTCCGGGAGGACATGTTTTGTTTGTGGGGCTAAGCACCACACGTCTATACACGTTGACGCCTCAACAAACACCCATGTAGCTGTAGTCTCTGCGAATTCTTCTGTGCTGATAAGATGCGACGAGCCTCTCAACGTTTTGGTAAGCGAAACAACATCTTTTGCGCCAACATTGCTACCCTCAGCATGGGTCAGTCTGGTGGAGGCGGATGGCCAGGAAAATTGTATTTAAACGTTGATCAATCAAGGATCACAGTGCTCGTTCCTGTTGCAACGCTTGGCCAACACACTGCAGCTTCCACGCAGCCCTGTTTGTGTATCGATCGATGGAGTGGGTGGTGTTTATCCTACAGCTGCCCTTGGCTGAAGCAGGATCACCGTCAAGTCTCGATGTGCTCCCAACTCTCTTGATGTGGATGTGCTTCTGCTCAAGGCGGTCACGTCATATCAACCTCGAGTGCATCGGGCTACCGACGGATGGCCTCATCTACGCGACCTACAGCTTGCCGACCGTTTGTATTCACCATCCAGTGAACCAATTGAACTGCTACTAGGCGCTGCAGTGTATGCCCAAATAATACGACCAGTTCTTTGTCAACCTCAGCGTCCCGATGCACCCATCGTTCAGCAGACTGCATTGGGTTGGATTTTATCTTGGCCGATCGGGCCATCTAAGCTGCCATCAACTTTGTCATCGAATTTTGCCAGAATATCTAAGCATTATAATTTTATTTTTTCATAAAAAATGGCCGGTGGTATGTTCACGCCAATCGTGAACTTTTAATTTTCTCTCTTTATTTTCTAATTTTCTTTAGCACAATACGTTAAGTGCAATAGTTATATTTCCTGGAATTGTAATAGCTTTATCTTTTGCTTTATTATCTAAAAGTAACACTTATCAATTTTATAACTTTCACTTTACATTTATACATACTTTTATTTCAGAACTTATATTTTCTTATCTTATCTCTCTTTTTCTACTCTGACTCATATAACGACTACAGTGTATATTTGTTCAGTTAACTTTAGTTATTCTTTCCGCTATTATGGTAATAAACCAAATACGTCTCAACAAGCAAAGAGCCAACATCAATTGCGCTCTGAGCTCTGCTAACTGCTATTGTAAATACATACGCTATTAAATAAACGCTATTTAAACTACTACCACTCAACAGTTTATTGATCCTCAGTAATTCCTGAACAATCGATATTAAGATTCCCGCGTTCGTCAAGCATTTTTTGCTTGAACGTAACATTTTGGTTTTGATTGATTAACCTTAAATCAATAATTACGGAAGACGAAAATTGTCAGAGCTTATTACTGGTACATGTACTAAAACATACGACTAAGGTCTAGGCATTATTAATTTATTAGTGGCGTTCAGCTTGTGATAATAAATTTTCCTTAACTTTCCGTATTTTTTGGTCATTTTGTTAATAAATCACTTGATTACAGATTCTTGAAGACAAATACTGTTAAAACTCACTTTGATTATACGTACCAAATGATATGTTTGTTTGTCTAGCCATTATTAGTGGTGTACATCTTGTGATGATTAATATTTCCTGAATATTGGTATTGATCTACCTTTTTTCGATAAAACATCTAAAATAATTGATCTTGGAAAACAAAAATTGTTAAAACTGACTACTTTTATATGTACTGAATGTACTAAATAATATTACTCAATGTTTTGATGTTATCAGTAGCGTGCAACTTGTGATAATAAATTTTCTCTGCATTTGCGTATGTTTCGGTCATTTCTAAAGTATGAAACTTGAAGTTAATAATTCCGGAAGATGAAAATGTTATAACTTATCTCTGTGATATATACTGACAATGAGTAATAAGACTAAATGTCTAGGTATTATCAGTAGCGTTCAGCTTGTGGTGATGAATCTTTCTCAACTTTCCGCATTATTCGGTCATTTTATTAATAAAACAGTTGAAATTAAAGCCTCTAAAAGACAAAAAGTGTTAAAACTCACTCAAAAATATTATCAAAAATATGTGATAAGTAATATTTATAATTGTCCAGGCTTTATTAGTGACGTGCATCTCAAGATCCTAATTTTATCTATACTTTCTGTGTTTTGCGGTCATTTTTATGATAAAAAATTTGCAAATAATCATTCCGGAAAACAAAAGTTGTTAAAACTTTCGACTTTCATATGTTATATATGATATTACTCTTCAATTAGATATCATCAGTGGCGAGCAGCTGTTGATAGTAAATTTTCCCTAAATTTCCGTTTTTTTGGTCATTTTTTCGATTAAAAAACTTAAAATTAAAATTTCCGGAAAATAAAAATTGTAGAAACTGAGTACTATTATATGTTCTAATTAATGTTAATAAATTTATAGGCATCATTAGGGACGTACAGCTTGTGATGATAAATATTTTACTAAATTTCCGTATTTTTCGGTCTAATTTGCGATGTGACACTTAGACTCATTATTTCGGAAGACGGAAATCGTTGGAACTCAGTACTATTATATGGATTATACTATTTATAAATGTCTAGGCATTTTAAGTAGCGTGCAGCTTGTCATAATGCATTTTCCTTCAGTTACTGTCTTTTTTTTACAATTTTTTGGATAAAACACTTAAAAAGAACAATTATGGAAGACGCAAATTATTAGAACTTATTAAGGGTAGTCCATAGATAGTTAAAATTTCCTACCTTATCGGTAAGGTTACTCGAATTGGATAGTTTTATAACATGATTTATGAAGCAGCTAGCTATTTTATCGAAAAAATAAGAGTAGACGCACATTCTTGACACATCATACAACAAATCAAACCTACACTTAGCAAAATTGATTGAGAATTCAAAAAAAAGAGTGAAAAATCAGATGTTGGATTGATAAGATGTAATGTGATTTTTAACTTTTTGCCTTGAATTCTCAATCAATTTTGCCAAGTGAAGGCTTGATTTGTTCTTTGATGATTCAAGAATATGTGTCTACTCTTATTTTTTCGATAAAATAGCTAGCTACTAAATAAATGTTATAAAGCCATGCAATTCGAGTAACCTTATCAATAAGGTAGAAAACTTTAACTATCTCCGGACTGCCCGTAAGTAAACTAGGTTATATCAATACATTTTTAAGCATTCTCAGTGGCGTGCAGCTTGTGATAGTGTATTTAGCACAAATTTGCGTTTTTTATGTCATTTTTTAAATAAAACACTTACAGTTATTGATTTTGGAAGACAAAAGTTGTTAATACTTACTACTATTACATATACTAAGTAACATTTATAAATATCCAGGCATTATCAGTAGCGTGCAACTTGCGATACCGTATTTTTCCAGAATTTCCGTATTTTTCGGTAAATATTTTGAAAACACGCAAAATTATTTATTTGGAAAAACGATATTTGTTGGAACTTATTACTATGATATATATTGAGTCATAATACTAAAAGTCTAGGCATTATAAGTGGCGTGCAGCTAGTGACATAGATTTTTTTTTAATTTTTGTATTTTTTGGTCATATTTTTTGATAAAACACATGAAATTATCACTTCCAGAAGACGGAAATTGTTGGAACTTATTACTATTATATGTACTGAGTAATTTTTGACTTTTAAGAAAGGGATGTACAATCGTACGGACATTACGATTTTATATCCCTTTCGTAAGAGTCAGAATTTTTTGTACCTGATGAGGGTCGGGGCATTGTCCAAACGGCCGAAACATCGTTTTATTTTGTAATAAATACAAAATTTGACAGTACCACCATTGGACCTTGTTTTAAGTTATGTCGCAACTGTCATTGGACGTCTTATTTTATTATTTAATGTATTAAGTTTTCAAGGATGGGAAATCTACAATTTTAGTTATTTAATTTTACTAGCATTAAGAATATAGTTACGATATGGATGATTTTTTATTTTTTAAACTATTTGTAGATGCGCATACAGCTTACTTTAACTTTGGTGGGTTATTGAGTTATATGGTTCATAGGTATATCGTAAAGGTATCATAGCGATGCGCTTTTTTTTGATGGTTCTTATGACTTATTGTGTATAAGACAGAGACTTACCTGGATTTATAAACACTACTATAATCCTAATTTAATATTTTTTAAAGCTTAAACGCATTTTCTACGCCCATACACTTGAATGAATCTTTAAACTTTTATATCTTAAGAAGGGTACATTTGCATGATCTAAAAATTGGGGGAGCTTTTCTCATTACTTGCTAAAGCACTTAAGCATTTGAATTAAACAAAAATACAGTATATTATTTTTCATTTTTGTTGTATGTAACGTTTCAACTTCAGAGTCATCCAATCGTTTTTATAGTTTGCAAGTTTGAATGTACTTTTTTTTAAGGTTTTAAAGATTTTTTTTCATTCACTTTTTTTTTTAATGAGTTTATTTTTGAATAGAAGACATTTTCAAACTGCTTATAAAGATTTTTGATTTATTAAGTGGTAGTTTAAATATTATTCAATTAATATTTCTCATAAGAGCCTACGTTTCATTGTGAGGTTCAAATAAGTTTTTTTTTTCAAAATGCGTTAAGGTTTTGAAAATTTTGAAAAAATTTGTACGTTTATAAAATGCTTCTAAAAACCACGTAATTCGTTCCCGTGTTACTTGAAATTTCTCTTTTTTTGCCGGAACTTTCTCGATGCGTTTACCTTCCTTGGTAAGTAGATAGCACACTCTAAACACGTAAATGTATTTTTTATCACCGGGAAAATCATGGAATAATAAATTTGGACTCTATAAATA